GGATGGGAGACCAGTAAAACAACACCAGGTGCTGGAGGTTATATTTCAGAGGAAGGAAATGGCAAAACAACCTCTGAATATCCTTTGCTTCAGAAAACCCTATGAAATTATTGAGATTACCATAAGATCACAGGCAAATTGAAGGCACATACCGTACTTACAGAGGCTGGATCAACACTGCTATATAATTCAGTTTCTGAATCTAGATTATCTGCTGTGAACTGGATTATATGTGTCTATACTGCCATATAATCCAGTTCAAATCAGATAATCTGGATTGAGGGACTGGATAATATGGCAGTGTAGAGGGGACCAGGGATTTCACAATCTGAGTTTTAAGTCAGGATTCTGGTTCTTTGAATAGCTTTTGAATGTATACAGTTCAGTTTGGGTGAGATCTCTAAAGGTAGAGGAAGGAGATGGCCCTGGTCAAACACCCATTCAGCTATGACAATTCTCCGGAAATTATCTGTTTTTGTTTGCAGAGCCATTCTTCCTTATCCTCTGCATATGAACAACTGATCAATGTTTCTGCCACTTCATACAACCCTCTGTGAAAGCCTTTTACATTTATTTCCAGTAAACCTTTCACTTGGAACTGAATAAGCTCGAAGTTGTTATTTTTCCTGATAGACTTTGATCTTTGCCCTTATTGGTTGTGTCTGTTAATAATTAGGAAGGAGATGGTAGCATTCTCTTCTCAAGGGCCAGATGTTAAGAGATCTTTGATCATACTATGTAAAAACCATATGCATTTATGGCAGTGGTTTCCAAACTCTTTTGAAAGTAGATCCCTTCAGAAGACTTCTATTTTCTACAGAACGTTATGTCAATTGCTGATTTGTTTGGTCAAAATATCATAGAAACTTAAGAATTAGAAGGGGCTCCCAAAGGCTATCCTATACTATCACCTTCTGCCACTTAGGAAAACACAAACAAAACACTCCCAACAGATGGGCATCCAGTCTCTACTTTAAAACATCCAGAGAAGGAGACTTCACCACACTCTAATATATTATGGATCAATTATTGAAGCTAATTCAAATACTTCTTCCAGTTTCTTCTATTATATCTTAATATTTGTGCCCAGCAGTAGTCTGATCTGGATTTTTCCACTGTATTAAAGGGCATTCTTACTAAATTTGCAGATGACACAAATTAGGAAGGGTAGCTAATACTGTGGTCAGGATCAGAACTCAGCATTTAAAATTATATATATTAGTGTTTCTCAACCTTTCCAATGCCATGACTCCTTTATACAGATTGTCATGTTGTGGTAACCCCCAACCATAAAATCATTTTCGTTGCTACTTCATGACTGTAATTTTGCTCGTAATGTAAATATCTTATATGCCAGCTGTATTTTCATTTGGTGGACCAAATTGGCATAAATACCTGATATGCCCAAATTTGAATACTGGAGGGGGGATTGATTTTGTTATTAGTGAGTTGTGATTGCTGGGATTTATGGTTAACCTAAAATCAAAGAGCATTCCGAACTCCACCAACAATGGAATTGAACCAACCTTGGCACACAAAACTCCCATGAACAAAAGAAAATACTGGAAGGCTTTGGTTGGCATTGAGTTTGAGTTTTGGAGTTGTAGTTCATCTACATCCAGAGAGCACTGTGGACTCAAACAATGATGGATCTGGACCAGACTTGGCAAGAATACTCAATATGCCAAATTGTGAACATTGGTGGAGTTTGGGGGAAATACACTTTGTCATTTGGGAGATGTAGTTGCTGGGATTTATTGTTCATCTACAATCAAAGAGCATTCTGAACCCCACAAATCCCCATGATGAACAGAAAATACTGTTTTCTGGTGGTCTCTGGCGATCCCTCTGACACCCCCTTGTGACCCCCAGGGGTCCTGACCCTCAGGTTGAGAAACGCTGATATATATTAATAGACATGATGCAGGCACATTACATCAACACAAGTCTCTCACCCCAACCCACCTTTCCTCATAACGTAAAGTATCCTAACTAAGGACATCAATATAAATAAGATTTCCTTCCTGCTTGAGTGTACCATGCATTACAGGATCAGAATTCAAAATGACTTTCAACAGATTAAAGATCTGACACAAAACGAATAACATGCATTTCAACATAGAAAAATGTAAGGTATTAAAATTAGGCAATAAAATTGAAATGTACTTGGCTTGGAACTAGTACATGTGAAAGAGATTTAGGAGTCTTATTAAACTACAAACTGAATATGAGTCACAGGTGTGATTCAGCAAAAAAAAAAAAGTCAATACAAATTTACGCAACACCAGTAGGAGCATCTAAATCAGTGGTTCTCAACCTTTGAGTCCCCAAATGTTTTGGCCTATAACTCCCAGAAATCTCAGCCAGTTTACCAGCTGTTAGGATTTCTGGAAGTTGAACTTCTAGAAACATCTGGGGATCCACAGGTTGAGAGCAACTGGTCTAGATCAAGTCATAGTCTCACTCTGTTCTGTTTCAGTCAAACCTCATCTGGGATCACAATGTGTCCAGTTCTGGGCATCACCAAGAGGGATATTGATAAGCTGTGACATATCCAAAGAAAGGCAACCAAAATGATCAAAGGTTTGAAAGCCCAGCCCTACAAGGGATGGCTTAAAGAGCTTGGTATGTTTAGCTTGGAGATGAAAAAGTTAATATAGATCATGATAGCCATGTTTAAAAAATTGAGGAGGGAACAAGCTTGATTGATGTTCTGTTGCTCTAGAAATTGAGTAACGGAGCAATGGATTGAAATTGCTGGAAAAGAGATTGGAGGAACTTCCTGATGGTAAGAGCTGTTGACTGAAAATCTTGAAACCATGGCTCTAAATAGCTTCTTAGGAAACTGGAATGTTTAGCCTGGAGATGAGAATGTTAATATTAATATATAACATACTATAAATATTTGAAAGGTTCAGTAAGTTTGTTTTCTGGTGCTCCGAAACTTAGGACACAGAGAAATGAATTCAAACTGAAGGCAAAGTGATTCTAACATTTGGAAGAATTTCCTGATAGTAAAAGTTGTTTGACCGTAGAATAGGTTGCCTGGGAATGTGATGGTGTCTCTTTCTCTGAAGCTGGATGGTCATCTGTCAGGAGTGATTTAATTGTGCATTCCTGGATGGCAGAACTGGACTGGATGATCCTTACAGTCAGTTTCCTTTAGTTCTGTTATTCTAATATGCTCAATTATCCCTTTTGATGATAATCCCCTCCTCAAGAAGACAAGTCTTGGCGTGGATATTGAAATATCTCAAGATAACTATTTTGGAATAATCATCACAAAATTGGACTGCTTCATCTACTCAGGTAGAAACAACGTTGAAACTCAGAATGGTTTGTACATCAGTAGAGTTTTTAATTTGTCCAGATGACCCAACATGAGATGAAAACACTTGAATTTGGCCATTGACTAGGCAGAAAGCCTATCGAGAAAGATGGTATACCAAGAAAACACTGTAGCACCTACTAGACCATCAAAAATCAACTTCTGTTAGGTCATCCACTCAAATTTCAGTAAGATAGGCCAAACTGGTTGCCAGATCCAGAATTACATTCAGCCTGGGGCTTTAATCTCATACTAGATTCTCTAATAAATCCTGCCAGCAATTTCTAGGCTCATCTGGAGAAAGAAAGGCAGTTTGATTGTAAGTTGGAGATGGACAATTTATGGCTCTTCAGATGTTGCAGAACTGCCATTTCCATCAGCTGTAGCTAGCTTTGTTAGTGGGGAGGGATCATGGGAATTGCAGTTTGAGTATGTCTAAAGCAGTTGGAGGTCGGGATGGGGGTCACGAGAAGGAGTCAGCCAAAGACCATCAGAAGTTTGGCCGAATTCTATCTTTGGTGACGTTCAGAATGCCCTTTGATTATTGGTGAACTATAAATACCAGCAACTACAACTCACAAATGTCAAGGTCTATTTTTCCAAACTCCACATTTGAGCATATTAAGTATCCGTGGTAAGTTTGGTCTAGATCCATCATCCTTTGAGTGCTCTCTTGATATAGGTGAACTACAACTCCAAAACTCAAGGTCAATGCCCACCAAACCCTTCAAGTATTTTCTTTTGGTCATGGGAGTTCTGTGTGCCAAGTTTAGTTTAGTTGCATCGTTGGTGGGGTTAGAATACACTTTGGTTGTAGGTGAACTATAAATCCCAGCAACTACAACTCCCAAATAACAAAATCAACCCCCCAACCCCACCATTATTCAACTTTGGATGTGTCGGGTATTTGTGCCAAATTTGGTCCAGTGAATGAAAATACATCCTGCCTATCAGATATTTACTTGACAATACATAACAGTAGCAAAATTACAGTTATGAAGTAGCAGTGGAAATAATGTTATGGTTGGGGGGTCACCACAACACGAAGAACTGTATTAAGGGGTCACAGCATTAGGAAGGTTGAGAACCACTGGTCTAAAGGACCACAAATTGTCCTCCTCTACTGTAGGTCTTTTCCACCTCTGAAAATTAAGTTTCAAACACATTAATCACTGGTTCTATGCAACTAAGTACTGGTGGGTAAAATGTTATTTCTTTTTCAATTTATAATGCTGCTCTATTTCTCCAGGCAAGGAGTGGGAATGGAGGGGAGAAATGAAAAGTGTTTTATGTGTTGTCGAAGGCTTTCATGGCTGGCTGGAATCACTGGGTTGCTGGGAGTTTTCTGGGCTGTATGGCCATGTTCCAGAAGCATTCTCTCCTGACATTTCGCCCACATCTATGACAGGCATTACCTCACAACCTCTAGGGGCGCCTGCCATAGATGTGGGCAAAACGTCAAGAGAGAATGCTTCTGGAACATGGCTATACACTCCAGAAAACTCACAGCAACCCAGAAAAGTGTTTGGATGAGAAAATGTCTGAGTTTATGGGTGGGTAAACTGGCTATCTATTGAAAACTTGATTCATAATATAACGGGACCATCTAATATACGAGACAGAGATTTCATATTCTTAGTATTTTTTCTTTCTTTCTCTGTTTGTTTGGCAGGTTAGGCTACAAACTCAACCGGCAGCTTTGCCAGGACAGCCTCCCCTCTACTCTGGAACCTTCGATTGTTTTAAGAAGACTCTTGTGAAAGAGGTATTGTGTCAAAGTATTTGTAATCTCTGACAAAGGTGTTACTTCCTCAATTATTTTATTGTAAAGAAATTGTGTCTATCTTGAGATGGTAAATGCTTGCTTTGTCAGTTCAGATAGTTCAAACTCGTGTATCTGAAAGTGAAATTATTTTCTTAAGAGGAGAACTATCAGGCGACAATGGTAGAGTAATTATCCAGTTCTGAGGCACATATAACTGGGAAGCTGAAATATCAAACACTTCAGAGCTGGTCATAGAAGGGCTTGGTTCACAGGCTTACTATGAAATACATATGTTGTAGAGACCCCCAGATTCAATTACTTGCTCCCTGAATGGCCTGAATATATTGGATTTCTCCTGTGTCCTCTGCCCACATAGTCAAAAGAAGTATCTGAGACAGTTTTGCCTCTGTTTTGATAAATCACGACTTCCCATTTTGTCTGAGCCATAGATCCAAGCGTACCATTACTGTATACAGTAGAGTCTTGCTTATCCAACCTTTGCTCATCCAATGTTCTGTATTATCCAATGCAGTCTGCCTCCCGCCCAGATCCACAGCTCTTTCAATTTATTACAATATTTTAGTGCTAAATTTGTAAATACAGTGATTACTACATAACGTAACCATGTATTGAACTGCTTTTTCTGTGTTCCTTGAGACTATTATGGGGGCAGGTGAAGGCACTACCTCCCTTTTGATCCCACATGCCATCTGATGGGGACTTGTCTTGACTTGGACTATCTTCATTGGAGTTAAATTGTCCTTCCTTGGCCCCTTCCACACAGCTAATGATAAACCTTTATTTGTACCCCGCTACCATCTCCTGAAGAACTCGGTGCGGCTTACAAGAGGCTGAGCCCAAATACAACAATTAAAACAGCAGCAGCAACAACAACACAATAACTCAAAAAACAAAGCAATAACATTAACAACACCCAATGATGCAATTAAAAACAATGGCCGGGCCAAGTGTAATAATTAAAATTAAAAAGTGCTGGTCATGACAAGGTGGGGTGTTTGGAGGGGGTTGGGCATGCAGATATCCTGGATCTCTGATAAAGTGCGTTGGGACATAATGCTAGGAGTTTCCTTATTCTGGAAAGGCACACTGGAACAACCACATTTTCAAGCTCCTCGTAAAGATTGCTAGTGACGGGGCCTGCCTGATGTCCTTAGGGAGAGAGTTCCAGAGTCAAGAGGCCACCACCGAGAAAGCCCTATCCCTCGTCCCCACCAATCGTGCTTGCTATGCCAGTGGGATAGTAAGCAGGGCCTCTCCAGATGAACGAAGAGATGAATAAAATCCCACGTCATCTGCTTTGAACTGGAATATATGCCAGTGTGGACTCATAACCCAGTTCAAAGCAGATATTGTGGGATTTTCTGCCTTGATATTTTGGAATATAGGATTGTGTGGAAGGGGCCTCAGATAACCCAGTCCAAAGCATATATTGTGGGTTGTTCTGGGCTATATGATATTCTGAGTTATATGGCTGTGTGGAAGGGTCCCTTGTTATTCATGCCGAACAGTCGCGTGATCCATACATTTGCGATGTCTTGCAGGGAGTCCGTGGCTTGTACAAGGGGATGGCAGCTCCCATTGTTGGAGTGACCCCCATGTTTGCTGTCTGTTTCTTTGGGTTTGGCTTGGGCAAGAAACTCCAGCAGAAGACCCCAGATGACATTTTGACGTAAGTGGTGGAAACCTTGAGATGATTTAGTAATGTATTTTCCAGACTTCCTAGCCTGCTGTTCTGTTCTTTTTTAAATTACACATTGCAGCGCTGCAGCCAAGCGCAATGTGTTATTTTTCCTCCTCAGATATAGATAGCTATATATGCATATGTATCCTTTTCCCCTTTCCCTTTTTTGCTAAATCTGGCAAATTTTAAGTCTCTGGGAAGCGTGGGACTGCTTGTGCTGGCTATAAACAGACATTGTGTGTGGGCTGTTGCTGCGCAATTCTCTTCTCGGTGAAAATTTACATCAATTTAGGAAGGAATATGTTTTAGATAAATGTGGTGTATGTTACATAATGGAAGGCTTGTAACATTTTCTCATAAATGACATTGAATGCCGAGACAACCGTTCTCCAGAGCCCACACTGAGTTTTATACATAGTTCATCCTTCCCACAATAGATCTCCCTGTCCAATACTCCCTCTGTTCTGTATTTAACTGAAGACATCCAAATTACACTGGAGTGATTGATTATTTAAATGTTTCTTTATTGCCTTGCAGGTTACTAGGCCTCCAAGGCAATGTATAAGACGTGGAACCAGTGAAAACATTCTTTTAAAACCAATATTTTTAAGGAAAACAGTTTTAAAGGACCCCCTTGCAATTAAAGCTTTTGTTCAAAGCCCACCCACTATTCTCACTAGAATAATGAGTTGGGTTTAGATTTTAGTTGGGTTTGTGTGCTGCCTGTTTACTGGTTTTTTTATTTATTTATTGATTGATTTACTGTCTTTATATATCGCTTTTCTCACCCCTGGGGGGACTCAAGGCAGTTTACAACATACTAATGGCAAAAATTCAATGCCAACATATAGTACACCAAGAAATCATAATAACTAATTACTACATACAACTATCAACTTAAAATCATTAAAACAATTAAACATAAGATATACATACAATTTAAACATTCAGACAAAGCATAAAATCATCCTAGTATAAATATTAAAATCCCATGATCCAGAAATCGTATACCATAGCCATTCCGAATTGCAATTGTACATTTCCTTAATTTATTTGCAGTATTTGTATACCGCCCTTTTCAACCCCAAAGGGGACTCAGGGCAGTTCACAGTATTGGCAACAATTCAATGCCATTGATAAAAAACAGTATTAAACATCAAAGATGACCCTCCCCTGATAAAACATTAAACATTATTAAACACATCACATAAAATAACATCACATATCACACAAAGTCATAGCCGTTGTCTGTAAACACTCCTGGGTCATTGCACTTTCAACTTTAAATATTCCTATGATGGGCCGAACGCTTGGTTCCACAGCCAGGTCTTTAACTGTCTCCTAAAGGTCAGGAGGGAGGGGGCCGACCTGATCTCACTTGAAAGGGAGTTCCACATCTGTGGGGCCACCACCGAGAAGGCCCTGTCCCTCATCCCCAGCAGCCACACCTGTGAGGCTGTTGGGGCCAAGAGCAGGATCTCCCCAGAATATAAAATTATTCTTTGTACTGCATTATTTATTAGCTAAAGATTTGATCCCACCACCACCACATCTTTGTTCTCTTTCTAAAGGTCAGGAGGGCAGGGGCTGATCTAATTTTACTGGGGAGAGAGTTGAGGAGCCACCACTGAGAAGGCCATGTCTCTTGTCCCCACCAACCAGGGCCTCTCCAGATGATCTTAACCTCCGTGTCTTGTTAGCTATGTAAGGTTTATTATTAGTATTATAACATCTGTTTTTAATCATAATCATCTAATTACTATCTTTACTACCTTTTAAGATTACAGTTTGCAAAATCTCTCAATGGTGGTGCTAGTTGCAGGATTCTGGGAGTTATAATCTAAAAGAGTAGCCATTTTAAATTTTCGACGGAACATGCTCGGACTGTGTGGATCCCATCTGAAGCACAGTCAATTAGGAGGAAGTTTGGTTGAAATGGCTTTTTCTAAAACTGTGGGTTTTGACCCCAAATGGCGTCCCCTTTGCTCAGGGTTGGGGTCACGGAAAAATTAGCAACATTTCCAGACATCTGTCGGCAACAATATGCAGTGTTTACAGTGGACTCTGCAGAAAATGCTTCAGCTGTACTCCACTAAAAGGAAAATCAGCCTGTTTAGCTAGCTTTGCAAATGCTGGTTTATTCTCAGGAAATGTTTGATTTTCATACCTATTTTGTAAACCTATATACCTGGGGTCACATGAAAAATTATTGGGCAGAAAGAGGTTGTGAGTCGAAAAAGTTTAAGAAGCCCTGGTTGAAATGATGGAAACCTTCTTCTGAGTAAATACAGTAATATATATTGCATAGAGTTGTATATTGTTTGTTCTCCATGAACCTGCTATTAAAATCATTTTGTATCAGCATCTCTTCCTCTTGTCTCTGCTTCTGCCGGTTGTGTTTGTTTGAATGAGTCTCTGTTTTTATCCTTTTGTTCCTTGAAAAGAGTCCTTGGAATAGTCTGGCTGTAACCTTGGTTTGTTTTGATTGTCTGGAACCATCCAAGGAGTGATAAATGTTTCTCCTTGGCACATAGGAATATTGGAAAGAAAATAATGGATGCTTACGACTGGAATAGATATTTTTAAACTGGTTCCTACTTTGGAACTGGTCAGTGTTACATTTCATCTGAATTGACTGATGGGAGATTTTTTTCGTGTCAGGAGGGACTTGAGAAACAGAAAGTAGCATCTGGTGTGAGAAAATTGGCCGTTTTACCATCCTGTGGGAGGCTTCCCTCATGTCCCCACATGAAAAGCTGGAGCTGACAGATGGGAGCTCACCCCACTCCCTGGATTCGAACCATCGACCTTTCAGTCAGCAGTCCTGCCGGCAAAAGGGTTTAACCCAGGAGTCCTCAAATTAAGGCCCGGGGGCCGGATGTGGCCCACTAAGGTCATTTACCCGGCCCTCGCTCAGGGTCCACCTAAGTCTGAAACGACTTGAAAGCACACAACAACAACAACAACAACAACAACAACAATCCTATCTCATCAGCCAAAAGCAGGCCCACACTTTCCATTGAAATACTAATAAGTTTATATTTGTTAAAATTGTTTTTAATTTTAATTATTGTATTGTTTTAAAACGTTTCTTGCACTACAAATAAGATATGTGCAGTGTGCATAGGAATTCATTCATATTTTTATCAAATTATAATCTGGCCCTCCAACAGTTTGAGGGACTGTGACCTGGCCCTCTGTTTAAAAAGTTTGTGGACCCCTGGTTTAACCCATTGTGCCACCAGAGCTCCTACTGATGGGAGATGGGATAGAAGCAGTGACTGGAAACAATGCTGGATTAGATGTTGACTAAATAGAAGAACAAACAGGACAAAGATACTAAAGTTGAGAACCTGGCTCATTTGGGATTTGGTGTTTCACCTTGACTGAATAGAATTGAACCTTTCACATAAGAGCAGTTACGAAATCCAAATTTGTCCCTGGAGCTCTAGAAATCATTGAGTCATAATGGAGGACCCTCCTTAGAAATATCTGCTCTGTTTGGACTTTTAAGAGGTTGGTTAGGAACAGCTTTCCTTTCCCAGTGAAGCATTAGTGGGAAATGTCAGTTTTATTGCTAACTTGTGGTGATTTCTTGGAACCTGCTGCTGCTATTAGGAAATTTAATTGTTGTTCATGCTGGCTTTTAATTTTTAATTGGATTTTCCTTTTTTTAATGGTTGTTAGCTGTCCTTTCTAAAGCAGCTGGCAGAGCTATAAAATGGGAGAGAAAATAAAACGATAATCATTTAATTGTTCTGTTCAATTATGTTCAGGATTTTGGTTTTCTTGGAATTGCCATTTTTAACAATAGCCAGATAAATGTGAATTTAGTATGGTATTTTTCATTCTTTTGTGCGCTGAAAAATAAAGTGTAATTTAAAAAAAAAAAACATTTTCCCTCTGTGGTTGTTTTCAGTAATATGGTCTGGCAAATCTATGTCAGTCCTTTGTTTTGTAAAAATGGCAACCCTCTCATTATATTGTCCTGTGATTAATGTCCTGTCCTCCCATGCAGATATCCCCAGCTCTTTGCAGCAGGCATGTTATCTGGAGTATTCACCACTGCAATCATGGCTCCAGGAGAAAGGATCAAGTGCCTTCTACAGGTAAGAGAGCCCAAGGAAGCCATCTAGCTTCCTTTCTATGAAATGTACTTCATTATCGTGCACACGCAGAAGTGTTACACCCTTATATTGTCTGATTATTCAATTTCACCAAATAGTTCCTTCTCTACTCTCCACAAAACACCATATAAATAGTTATATGTCCAAATGAATCTCCCCTATGAACCATCTTGGAGATTGAGATCTTCTGGAGAGGCCTGCTCTCGATCCCGCCTCCTTCGCAGGCACGGTTGGTGGGGACGGGAGACAGGGCCCTCTCAGTGGTGGCTCCTCTATGAACCATCTCAGAGATTGAGATCTTCTGGAGAGGCCTGCTCTCGGTCCCACCTCCTTCACAGGCACGGTTGGTGAGAACGGGAGACAAGGCCCTCTCAGTGGTGGCTCCTCTATGAACCATCTCAGAGATTGAGATCTTCTGGAGAGGCCTGCTCTCGGTCCCGCCTCCTTCGCAGGCACAGTTGGTGGGGACGGGAGACAGGGCCCTCTCAGTGGTGGCCCCTCTATGAACCATCTCAGAGATTGAGATCTTCTGGAGAGGCCTGCTCTCAGTCCCGCCTCCTTCGCAGGCACAATTGGTGGGGACGGGAGACAGGGCCCTCTCAGTGGTGGCTCCACGATGAACCATCTCGGAGACTGAGATCTTCAGGAGAGGCTCTGCTCTCGATCCCGCCTCCTTTGCAGGCACGGTTTGTGGGGATGGGAGACAGGGTCCTCTCAGTGGTGGCTCCTTGGCCGTGGAACTCCCTCCCCAGCAATATTAGATCAGCCCCTTCCCTCCTGACCTTCAGGAAAAAGTGAAAACATGGCTTGGGATCAAGCCTTTGACAACTAATACAGTGCAATAGATGGTTTTGGATTTATGTGTAACGATTACTGGAATGGCCTGACTTTGATTGTGGATAATGTGATTTTTAGCTGTCAAGTGGTAATGTCTATGTTTTAATTGCTTTTGATTTTGTTTAGATTTTTAACTGAATATTTATTTATTTGTTGAATTGCTTTAAGGCATTGAATTATTGTCTCTGCTGTAAGCTGCCTTGAGTCCTCTTTGGGGTCAAGAAGAGTGGGATATAAATATAATAAATAAATAAATAATATTGTTGATCAAGTTATTTATTTATTTATTTATTTATTTGCAGTATTTATATTCTGCCCTTCTCACCCCGCAGGGGACTCGGGCGGATTACAATGTACACATATATGGCAAACATTCAATGTCAAGACACACAACAGAAATAGACAAACAGTCAGAGGCTATTTAACTTTTTTCTGGCCAGGGGAGCTGTCACTTTCATCGTCCATCTGCGACACTGATGAAGTACTTCCGCATTTCCCGCATGCTTTTGCTGGAGTGCTTTGCTGGAGTCTTTTTTATGGCCTCGTAAATTTTGTTAAATTAGCCTCCCCACACATAGGTGGTACCTAATTTTCCTACTTGACAGATGCAACTGTCTTTTGGGTTGCAAAGGTCGACAACAAGCTACACAATTGGTCGGAAGCTCACTCCGACCTGGGCTGGCTTCGAACTCATGACCTTGTGGTCAGAAGTGATCTTAATGCAGCTGACACTCAGACAGCTGCGTCACAGTCCCGGCACAGTTTTCTAAACAACTTGGAAGTATTTTGATGTATTTGTAGAATTCTTTGTGTATTGGTGAGGAAGCATATACGGTATGGCCCTTGTATCCATGTTCCAAGCTTCCCATTGGCCCTGTGGACACCAGAAACTGTGGATAATAGAAATCCCTATACATTGGAAGTGTAATAATCATAGCCTCACTGTTGGAGGAAGCAATCTTCTCAAGCCTCCTCTATGTGATGTTTGTCGGTTTTTATAATGTGTTGTTTTATAACTCAAAGTATATGTCTTATTTGAGTTGCAGTTTCCTTATCTCTATATACCTAAAGCAGTGGGAGGGGCTGCAGGTCATGTGACTGAGTCAGTAACAGAATGTTCAGTTTTTAAATAGGATGACAATTAGGGAATGATGCCTGTTGAGAAATGACTGTTAGAGGAGAATAGAAGTCTGTCAGAGTGCAGAAGCTCATATTAGGAAGTTAGAAACTGTTGAGGCTTGTGCTTTATTCGAAAGTAAACTCTTATTAAAGAGAGCTGTATAAAGCAACATGGTTTATGAAGATACTGTTAAAGGTTGTAAGTTCAAGATACAAACTCTCTGAAACATTACTGAAGTTTTTAACCTTGACAAGAAATGTGTCTGTATTCTTAAATACACGAAGCTATCAGCAAAAAATACTTGTTATATTTTATAAAAAGGTTTTTTTGTTGATAACTTCATGTATTTAAGAATACATAACTTCATGTATTTAACCCAAAAATCTCCCATGGAGCACTCACGTTATACAACCTTTGCCCACTTGTTTTAGTTATCTGGCGCAGTGGGTTAAACCCTTGTGCTGGCAGGACTGCTGACCAATAGGTCAGCAGTTTGAATCCCGGGAGAGTGGGTTGAGCTCCCTGTGTCAGCTACAGCTCCCCATGCGGGAACATGAGAGAAGTCTACCACAAAGATGGTAAAACATCAAACATTGGGATGTTTCCTGGGCAATGTCCTTGCAAATGGCCAATTCTTTCACACTAGAAGTGGTGGAGGCTCCTTCTTTGGAAGCTTTTAAACAGAGGCTGGATGGCCATCTGTCGGGGGTGCTTTGAATACAATTTTCCTGCTTCTTGGCAGGGGGTTGGACTGGATGGCCCATGAGGTCTCTTCCAACTCTATGATTCTATGCAGTTTCTCAAGTCGCTCCTGACATGAAAAAAAAAGTTATCTGAAACACTTGTTTATCCGCTTTCTCCTATAACAATAATCCCTGTTTCTTTCCAGATAGCCTTCCATCTTGTGTTCCCCAAGGTTAGGTCACAAAAGGAGGTTTTGTTACACTTGATTGTGATTAGTGCTCTTTCTAGAAGCAGATTTCACAATGTCTTTTGGAATAAACAGGATATTAGAAACATGCTGATAGAAGTTAAAAATTGGAGATGCCACATGGGAAGGAAAACAATAGGCAATGTACTGGTTACAGTGTCATCATTTTGGTGTGTGGTGGAATGTCCCGTGGCTCCAAAAGCTGTCCTTCAGTGATCGTAGAATCAGAGTTGGAAGAGACCTCAAGGGCCATCCAGTCCAACCCTCTGCCATGCAGGACAAGCAAAATGAAAGCATCCCCAATAGATGGCCATTCAGCCTCTGTTTAAAAGCTTCCAAGGAAGGAGCTTCCATCAGACTCAGAGGCAGGGAGTTCCTCTGCTGAACAGCTCTTATGGTCAGGAAGTTCTTTCTAATGTTTGGGTGGAATCTCCTTTCCTGTCATTTGAACCCAGGCCCTAATCTCCAGGGCAGCCTGCTCTCTCTTCCTTATGATATCCTCCGGTGGCGCAATGGGTTAAACCCTTGTGCTGGCACAACTGCTGACCAACAGGTTGGCAGTTCAAATCCAGGGAGTAGGGTGAGCTCCTGTTTCAGCTCTAGCTTCCCATGCGGGGACATGAGAGAAGGTAAAAAACATCAACCGTCCGGGTGTCCCCTGGGCAGTGTCCTCTCAGACAGCCAATTCCTCACACCAAAAGCGACTTGCAGTTTCTCAAGTCTCTCCTGATACCAAAAAAAATTGACAACCTTTCAAATATTGAAACATGGCTCTGATGATAGATGCTGAAAAAATCTTTTTTCCCCCCAATCGCTTAGATCCAAGCAGCCTCAGGTGAAATTAAATATGGGGGTCCAATGGACTGTGCCAAGCAGATCTATCGTGAGGCTGGTATTCGAGGCATTTACAAAGGGACGGTCCTCACCCTCATGAGAGGTAATAGTTGGAAACGGTTCTCTGGGGTTTTTTTGGGGGGGGGGGGGGAAGCAGCTTTGGCCAAGAACTCTCTTTTTGGCTTGTTTTCTCTACCCAGTCAAAGAGTCAAGGCTACTTTATTCTACTTTATTCGGGATCAAGTGTGGTCTTTTACGGCATTTTGGAAATTCTGGTTATGAACAGAGAGTATTTGCCTTCCCTTGGCAGAGTTCTGCATTTTGGCTTGCTTTTGCAACAATCTCTGGTTGCACCTCTACTTTCTCTAAGTGGTCCCTCTTTTTATTTGTCCAGATGTTCCAGCCAGTGGGATGTACTTCATGACCTATGAATGGTTGAAAAATATTTTAACTCCTGAAGGGCAGAGGTAAGTAGAAGAGCTTTTCAGAGGGAAGAAATTTTGTCTGTAGTAAAACTTTATATTGAACTTTATAGTCTTGAGACACTGGAAGTAGCCCAAGAAAAAAGGAAAACAAAAGGAAACGATGATAGGGGGAGATATTCCCAATTAAATCCACAATTCCCGAGGTTAGCCAGAAAATATAAGGAATGATTTTTAAACAAGCAATGCATGGAATTGGAAGAAGACAATAGAATAGGAAGGACAAGAGACCTCTTGCAGAAAATTAGAAATTTCAGGCAAAATGGGCATGATCAAAAACAATGATGTCATGGACCTAACAGAGATCAAGAGAAGGTGGTAAGAGTATACAGAAGATCTGTATAGGAAGCTTTGACGGTGTGGTGTGTGAATTAGAACCAGAAATCCTGAGGAGTGAGGTGGAATGGGCCTTAAGAAGCATTGCTAACAACAAGGCAGCAGGAGACGACAGGATCCCAGCTGAACTGTTTAAAATCTTGAAAGATGATGCCGTCGAGGTGTTGCATGCCATATGCCAGCAAATATGGAAAACACAAGAATGGCCATCAGACTGGAAAAATCAACTTATATCCCCATACCAAAAAGGGAAATGCTAAAGAATGCTTAAACTTTTGTACAGTGGCCCTTATTTCTCATGCCAGTAAAGTCATGCTCAAGATCCTGCAAGGTAGACTCGAGAAATACATGGAGAGAGAGCTGCCAGATGGGTTTAGAAAAGGCAGAGGAACGTGAGACAATGAAGCAACTGAACAAATGCACACAACAACAAAAGAACTTTATAGTACAGTGAGCCCTATACATTTGTGGATTTGATTATTTGTCAATTGCTGTACTTACCGCTGCCTCCACTGCTGCCCTATACCATTTTAAATTGGGATTTTTTTGATAATGCCTTTTCGCTTTGCTACTCTGTTGCTGAGTATGCATGCCCAGTGTCGAAAACATCTCTCAATGCTAAAACAGTAGATGTGACTCTTAATGACTCTTAATGAGATATGCCGCATTATCACAGGATGCCTACTCCCTTCACTACTGGAGAAATTGTACTATTTAGCTAGTATCGCACCACCTGACATCTGTCTGGAAGTAGCAGCCAGCAATGAAAGGACCAAGGCAGTGACATCTCTGGCCCATCCTCTGTTTGGATATCAGCCGGCACGCCAACACCTTAAATCAAGAAATATAAGAACTTCAAAGATACTTGCAGGAATACCTCAGCAAGCAAGAGTCCAAAAGTGGCAGGCTAAAACCCAGAGCCCAGTGGCCAATAGTAGATGAGAGACTCCCTCCTGGGTACACAGAAGATTGGGAGACTTGGAAGGTGCTAAACAGGCTGCGCTCTGGCACCATGAGATGCAGAGCTAACCTTAAGAAATGGGGCCACAAAGTGGAGTCCACAACATGCGAGTGTGGAGAAGAGTAAACCACAGACCACCTACAATGCAGCGTGAGTCCTCCACGTAAACAATGGAGGACCTTCTTACAGCAACACCAGAGGCACTCCAAGTCACCAGCTTCTGGTCAAAGGACATTTAGCATAATGCCAAGTTTTTAACCTTGTCTGTGGTTTTTTAAATACATTATAACTGTACCCTTGATTTGCTTCTCACACGATAAATAAATTTCTTCACATTTGGAATAGACTTTTGTGAAGTAGCCAATTAATCAGATGTGTGAAGTGTTATTCTTTAGGTACAGGGAGAGGTGGTGGATTGAGGACCAACTGCAATTAAAAGTAGACACTAATCTCAGTCAGTTCAAATGAAACTCAAATGTCTGTCTAATAAACTCAGTGAACCATTCACAGCAACAGTAATTGGTATTGGATAAAGTCATAGGATGTTTTTCTCTGCTTTTTATTCTACTTTACAGTCCTTTTCTGACTATTTTTGCAGTGTCAGCGACCTGAGCATCCCCAGGATTCTCTTTGCTGGTGGCATGGCAGGGATTTTCAACTGGGCTGTAGGCATTCCTCCAGATGTGTTGAAATCTCGCTTCCAGACAGGTGAGTTATCTGGTGCTGCCGTGAAGACTGTGTGAAACAGGAGCTTGTCTTGAGAGAATATTCCATTCCAAGTACTTAATCCTTTCAGACTGCGCTTGTTCCTAGTCAGTGATTTTCTGAAAATGCGGCAGAAGAAGTGAACCGGAACAAAGATGGTTCAGTGACTGCAGACATCTTGTGTAATTTATAATAGGCCCTCCGCTTTTGCAAGGATTCGGGGCACAGGATCCCTTCCAAAGTGGGAAAAACACAAATACTTGCTTTTTTGAAAACTTGAAATAAGTTCTCTAATAAGTTCTCTCGGAGTCTGTGGAAGAGAGCAGACAAGATAACATAAAGTGCTTTTAAAATCTCATTCCTTGCTGGCGCCACTATAAAATAAGGAGCTGTGGGTATGACTAATCACAACCACATTAACTGTAGTTTGGAAAGGCCAGGCCCCCAATGGTAGAGAATTGCAAAAGGCCCTGACGTAAACTACATTTCCCAGAATGCAAAGCTGCTTAGGACTCAAATGAGGTTGAAGGACCCAAGTGAGGGCTGGTCTCGCAGTCACCGTTTAGAGTTAGTCTAAATAAAATAAATATCTTCAAACAAGACTAAAATAAATAAATAATATCTGTGCTAAGTAGAAGTTATGTGCTTATGTGTCATAAAGACAGACGGACATTTAAAGGGATTGATGTCGCTTTTTGGGGGGATAAATTGTTTTGGTCTAATCTTTTTAAAATCCCCAAAAATCTGCAGATGTGTGAATCTTTCTGAAATTTCTGGGGATTGATGCCCTCGTTATCTTGTACATTGTATATAAAATTCAAGTAGATAACTCTTGTAAGTTTTTTTTTAAAAATGTTAATGAAAATTTTGAAAATTTGCCAAAATTTCATAGGTAAGTCAAACGTTCTGAAATTTGGTGAGCTAACTGGTAAATGTGTTCTAGCACTGTAGCAAGTTTCACTATGATAGCTCAAAAATGGGAGAGAGAAGCCCCTTGAGTTTTTCCTATTGCGCAATCGCAACCGCCATTAACAAAGTACTTACGAAGATCCGTAAGTTTCATTAGAGTTCCAAAATTTTGATCACCAAAAATTTGGAAAGACTTTAGAAAAGAAGCGCCAGCGCCCCCTATTTTTCGAAGGAGTTTAGAACCCTTTTTTAATGGATCACACATGCCTAATGCATATGTCTTTGTAACCCATGGTCAGCTGATGACAGTGGGCTTTTATTTATTGAGGTTTTGGTTTTCCTTAGGGTCATTGCCAAGTTAAACTTTCCTGGTGCTTCTAAATACCAAATACTCCCAGATCTCATCTCCACTCTTTCCACAACAGAAATCATATTTCTTGTTACTTTTGGAAGTCTCAAGAGCTTTTATTAATCTAATCATGTGATCTTTTCGCATTCCTTCCTTGGTAGTTTAGGGATTTTCCACTTCAGGTGTCTTGAGATTTTATGCTTCGGCCATTTGTGAACATAAACTCTGTAACTTGCATTTCCTTAATTCAACAGCTCCTCCAGGAAAGTATCCCAATGGCTTCAGAGATGTTTTGCGAGAGTTGATCCGAGAGGAGGGAGTGATGTCTCTGTACAAAGGGTTCACTGCTGTGATGATCAGAGCCTTTCCCGCCAATGCAGTAAGTGAATCTAGGAAAAGTGAATTTTAATTGGACTCAGAAAGCTACAATGTGAGCATCACCATATTTCAACACCTTCCTTTCTGTAAACAGGCAGCTCCCCCAACTTCCTGCAGCAAATCAAATTCATCCACTCCTGGCATGAGCAAATCGACTTACTGCCATCCAGAATAGGAATCACATGTTTATTTATTTGGCCATAGTGATAGTTTCAGTTTATAACAAGTAGGTTGCTGTGAGTGTTCTAGGCTGTATGGCTCTGTTCCAGAAGCATTCTCTCCTGACGTTTCACCCACATCTATGGCAGGCATCCTCAGCGTTTGTGAGGTCTATTGGAAACTAGGAAAGTGGGGTTTTGTGGAATGTTCAGGGTGGGAGAAAGAATTCTTGTCTGTTTGAGGCAAGTGTTAGTGTTGCAATGCCACCTTGATTAACATTTAATGGCCTTTAAGCTTCAAACCCTGGTTAATTGCTGCCTGGGGGGATCCTTTGTTGGGAGGTGTTAGCTGGCCCTGAATGATTCTTGTCTGGAATTATTATTATTATTATTATTATTATTAACTTTATTTGTACCCCGCTAAAATCTCCTGAAGGACTCGGTGCGGCTTACAAAGGCCAAGAATTCCCTTCTTATTGAGTGTTGCTTTTTACTGTCCTGATTTTAGAGGGGTTTTTTTAAAATACCGGTAGCCAGATTTTGTTCATTTTCATGATTTATTATTATTATTAATACTTATTTATACCCGCCACCCTCTCCCATAGGGACTTGGGGCGGCTAAAAAAATAGCACACACATTGTGAGGTAGACCTTCCCAGAGCTGGAGAATGGAGAAAGTAGGCAAGCAGCAGTCCCAAAGAGACCCAGGCAATGCCGGATACCTTTGCTAGTTTTATAATAGTGTTTGAAAATGGAATGCTACCTATGTTGGCTGAAGAAAAACCTTCTTCCAATATGTTCATTTTGTGTGTCTCTTCTTCTCCTAGGCCTGTTTCCTCGGTTTTGAATTCGCCATGAAATTCTTGAATTGGCTTGCACCAAGTCTCTGAGGACCAGCAGGATGTGTTCCTGTGGAAACCCATCAACACGAGGGAAGTGGAACCGCATCAAGAGGATGACTGAATTAATGGATTGCCAGAAGCTATAAAACAATGACTACTTTTCTAATAACCTTTTCTGCCTTACTCGCACCCCTTTGGGTGTTGCCATTAGGAATCTTGAGCCAAATCTCTTCCCAGCGGAGAGTTCGAGAGGCGTTCAGAAGAGACACCTGCTTTCTGAACCCCAAGTTACCATAATGGTAATGCTGCTAACAGGAAACCTTATTGCTCTTAGCCAGCATGATGTTTTTGTTCTTGTTCCTGCTCATTTATCTAATCAGGGAATAAAGGAGATAATGTTTTAATTTCCCCTTCCAACCTTAGTGAGAAAGTGCATAGTTTGAACATGGATCTGCATGAGTTTGGGTGCGAGTAGAGACTATTTACTGTGCATGTAATGTTCAGGATAACAGTTCACATTTTAATGACACAAGGTGCTTTGATTTAAAAACATTGGACACAATCTGCCATAAGTTTCTATGTGGGCTGTGCTGAAATTACTGCGTCTTGCTCAAGAATTTTATGCTCAAATGCAAGTTTTTGTTTTATTTCAGTGGCACTTACCTGGAACAAGTACTGACCTAGAAGGATTTTCATACATTGCTTTAAGTCATATGGCCCACACTTAGTAGCATAAGTACAGGGAGATTCATACTCCCCAAAGGTTTGGACTACAACTCCCACCGTCCTTTACCTACCCACACAATGAGTAGAATCAATGGGTAATGTAGGCTGAAAGACTTGCAGAATGAAAGGCTTCCCACTGCTGAAATTACATGTCAATGTTGCCTTGAAGAAGTTCAGCTAAACTGAGAGAAGAGAGAACAATATTACAATTAAGAATGTGTTATAGTATTGAGTGCAGGTACTTGATTAAGAAATGACTGAAGCCCCCAATTGTATCACCTCTTACAGATAAAATGCAAAGATATGGGGGTAACCCCAGGTTTTCTTTGTAGTTTGTGACATGTTTGTCTGGAATAGGGCATCCGTATAGAAATACCCCTTCCACTAAACTCCTCTTCCCAATGCTGCTTTTTAAAAGTAAATAGAAATGCCTTGGGCAGTAGTTTCACAAGTGCCATGTTACTCTATGGCTAAATTTATGGCATTTTGTTTCCAAAAGATACCAAATCCCCCCTCCCCAAAATTGAAAAATGAGTTATAGGTAGCAGCATATTGTTGGCTACTATTTATTTTATTTACAGTATTTGTACCCCACCCTTCTCACTCCTTAGAGCGGCTTACAGAACACACATATGGCAAGCATTCAACGCCAATTATACAATTGACATTGAATGGACAGACAACACAAACAGTGGTAAAGGCAGTGTTCCCATCGTATTTCCAGCATCTTAAGGATGCCTTTATTACCTCCCTGCTAAAAGTGGTACCTATTTTAATCTACTCGCATTTCTGTTTTCGACCTGCTAGGTGGGCAGGTGAACTGGGACTAATGGTGGATGCTCAACCCCAACCTGGGCTCGAAGTGCTGACCATTTGATTGGCAGGATTTTTCTGCAGCACAGTGGTTTAGCATACTGTGCTAAGCCCAGCTCAAAGTAGAATATTATGTACAGATCAAAACTATCAAAATGTATAAAATCACTTTGGTATAGAGATTAGGTAATTACATGTTATAGTAAAAGAAAGTAGGTCCTAGTGGCACAGCAGGTTAAACTGCTGAACTTGCTGATCAAAAGGTTGGCGGTTTGAATCCAGGGAGCGGGGTGAGCTCCCACTGTTAGCCCCAGTTTCTGCCAACCTAGCAGTTCAAAAACATGCAAATGTGAGTAGATCAATAGGTACCACTCCGGCGGGAAGGTAATGGTGCTCCATGCAGTCATGTCGGCCACGTGACCTTGGAGGCGTATACGGACAACGCCAGCTCTCTGGCTTAGAAATGGAGATGAACACCACTAGACATTAGGGGAAACCTTTACCTTTACTATCAGAAGAACAATCTGTTAGGTAACCAGTCCTATGAACTGGTTGCAAACAACCAGTCCTGCCTGATATTTTGGCCTACCCCCCCCCCCCAATCCCCAAATGGCATGGCCAATAGTAAAGGATGGTGGGAACTGTAAACTAAGTCATCTAAATGACTCCTTTTGTAAGAAGGTAATGGCACTCCTTGCCGTCATGCCGGCCACGTGACCTTGGAGGCGTTTACGGACAACACCAGCTCTTTGGCTTAGAAATGGAGATTAGCACCACCCTTCAGACTCAGACACAACTAGACTTAATGTCCAGAGGAAACCTTTACCTTTACCTATAGTAAAAGAATGCTTATCCTCAGCACATTTTTTTTTCATTCCTGTCGAAATTATTCAGATGGATTTGGAAACAAACTCCACACCTGGAGTGCCAAAATATGTATTTTGGTACACGTGCGATCGGTATAATCTTGATTGTAAACAAAGTGGGTTTATTATTATTATTTTGATTTGAAAAACAACACCTTTGTGCCTCTGACAGCTTATTCTACCGTTTCTTTCTCTCACTCTCAAAGGTGCTACGAGATTGCTTTGCACACTTGTTCTCACACTGAAGAAACTTGTTTTCTGACTAATTCTGTACTCACTGCTGCTTGGCCTTAGAAGTTTTTATTACATGTACTTGAACCACTGAAACACATCCTACGGGTAGATAAAAGATGCAGAATGGTCACTTTGTAAAATATTTCACTCTCTAGAGCAGGCATGGGGAAATTTGGGCCCTTTGGGTGTTTTGGACTTCAACTCCCACAATTCCTAACAGCCTCAGGTCCCTTCTTTCCTTTCCTTTCCACTTAAGCATCTGAGGGGGAAAAGGAAAGGGACCTGAGACTGTTAGGAATTGTGGGAGTTGAAGTCCAAAACACCAGGAGGGCCCAAATTTCCCCATGCCTGCTCTAGAAATTGGAAAACACCATGGCAAAAACTGTCTTTGCACCTGCCCTTCTAAAAATGTTGCATTATATCCAAATCATCCAACTGCGGCAGGTCCAGAAGCAAATGCACTGCCTCTGGTTCAGCAAGAATAGTCATGATATAAAATAAACAAAACTGGAATTGGCCAGAAATCCACTCCTGGTTTTGGAAAAAAGCAACATGGATATGTTAAATGTTAAACAGCAGAGGGGTCCTGCTACTTGTTCGCTGTTTCTGGAGCCCGATGGGGTCAAAGTCTGCCAAAACAGTATGGGTCACTCACAGCCTCAGGGCTGCACATTGCTGACCTTTGCTCTGTGGCATCTCAACCAAAAATCCTTTTTTCCTACCATTCTTTCCCTGAATGCCTCACCGAGATGAAATGTCACTGTTGTTCAGCACTCAGTAAACTTTGCTGATTCTCAGCTGGAACCTGTCTTGGTGTTCTTGTTTGTTGTGCATTTCGGAATGACTGTAGTTAAGCAACAGAGCATGGGAGGTGATCTTATGTGGGAGAGGGACTGCAATTCCCCAAATCACACATTTGTCTGGGATTTACAAGCTCGAGTAACTTTTCAAGGCTCTGCTTTGTTTCACAGAGATCTGTTTTAAAAACAATCCCCACCATCCACCAAGAAGGCTGGTGAGATTCTTTTGGAAGATAGTTTTTGTAAGATTTCCTGCATGGAGAATGCATCTTTTGTACATGGAAAGTGTCCTTCTAGCTACATAAGTACCTCCAGTTGTGATCATCTATCTATCTATCTATCTATCTATCTATCTATCTATCTATCTCTATCTATCTCTATCTATCTCTATCTATCTCTATCTATCTATCTATCTATCTATCTATCTATCTATCTATCTATCTATCTATCTATCTATCATCTATCTAAAAATGCTCTGTGCATAATGAGTACCTTAAAAACAAAAAAAACCAATAAACGAAAACACACCAAATTTGGCAACACAACGTCTCACAACACAAGGAGTGACCATCACTCAAAAAATTATGATTTTGTCATTTGGGGGTTGTAGTTGCTGGGATTTATAGTTCACCTACAATCAAAGTGCATTCTGAACTCCAACGATGGAATTGAACCAAACTTGGCACACAGAACTCCCATGACCAACAGACAACACTAGAAGGGTTTGGTGGGCATTGACCTTGAGTTTGGGAGTTGTAGTTCACCTACATCCAGAGAGCACTGTGGACTCAAACAATGATGGATCTGGACCAAACTTGGCACATATGAACACAGATGGAGTTTGGGGGAAATAGACCTTGATATTTGGGAGTTGTAGTCACTGGGATTCACAGTTCACCTACAATCAAAGAGCATTCTGAACCCCACAAATGACAGAATTGGGGCAAACTTCCCACACAGAATCCCCATGATCAACAGAAAATACTTAAGTCCATCCAGTCCAACTCCTTTCATCAGGGCAAGAAAACGTAATCAAAGTCCTCCTGACAAAGAGCCACCCAGCCATAGATAGATATAGGTAGATAGATAGATAGATGTTATTCACACACACATAGATATAGTATCAGATTTGAAAGGGACCCTTAAAGAAGGGCAATGATATGTTGCATGTTCCAGGGTGGGCAAACCAGACACTCTCCACATCAACACTGACAAAGAAACAGCAAGAAATACTGTTTACCTACAAGCATAAAGAAACTACATATATTAGAAACCAACACTTTCTCATTACTTTATTTTCCAGATCAACAGACTGGGCCACAGCAACGCGTGGCAGGGGACAGCTAGTGTTAATATATATTGGGATGTGAATCACATAGCCATCCAACGGTTGCTGATTGGCACCCCCGCCCCATCCTTCTGACCATTGATTGGCAAGGACTGATGACTACTGGAAGCCAAAAATATCTAACGGTCACATTGTTTTTACCATTAGGCATATACACGTAGTGGGATGCTCCAAGAAACCCAAGTTCTTCTGAAGATGGAGACCTTGGGTTCTAGATTGCTGTGAGTTTTCCGGGCTGTATGGCCATGTTCCAAAAGTATTATCTCCTGACATTTCACCCACCCGGTGGCGCAGTGGCTTAAATCCCTGCGCTGGCAGGACTGAAGACTGACAGGTCGCAGGTTCGAATCCGGGGAGAGGCGGATGAGCTCCCTCTATCAGCTCCAGCTCCTCATACGGGGACATGAGAGAAGCCTCCCACAAGGATGATAAAAACATCAAATCATCCAGGCGTCCCCTGGGCAACGTCCTTGCAGTTGCCCAATTCACTCACACCAGAAGCGACTTGCAGTTTCTCAAGTCGCTCCTGACACGACAAAAAACAACAACAAACAAACAAACAAAAACCCATGTCTATGACAGGCATCCTCAGAGGTTGTGAGGTCAAAACCTCTGAGGATGCCTGCCATAAATGTGATTGAAACATCAGGAGAGAATGCTTCTGGAACATGGCCATACAGCCCGGAAAACTCACAGCAACCCAGTGATTCTGGTCATGAAAGCCGTTGACAACACCTTGGGCTCTGTTTCTAAGTTCACTAAACTGATTGGTAATGATCCTGCTAATTTTTCTCTATCTCATGCAAATCCATGCAAATTATAGAGTTTTAAAAGTCCATACAACCTATTTTCTCTATTCCAAACTAAGGGCTTAATTTATTCATTTTTTTTGTCCCAATTGGAGTAGAACGACTGAATGAAAAACATTTAAGTCCCACTATTAAGTTTCACAAACAGCTGATGAAGGTGTCCTCCTAATAATTGTTTCATGATGGTGGCATTGCATTTCTTAAAACGTTAGCATGTTACATCATGATATGCGGTGTTAGTCTGTTAAGAGAATAGTTGGTCATCAAGATTAAATATTGCCGCCTTCCACAAAATATTGCATCAAGTGCTTGGATCATCTGCAAGAATACATGTCATTCAGCTTTTTCCCAGCACTAAGGAAGGGGGTAGAAGGCAGGCTTTTCGAAATATTTAGAAACTTAGTCTTTCATTAGGATTCCTAGTTCCTGAACTCATCTTACCAATTATCAATAGCATTCTCTCCTGACATTTCACCCACATCTATGGCAGGCATTCTCAGAGGTTGAGATGAAGGAGACGTAGTTTTAAAAGGGAATTTTCAGAGATGTTCGCAATGCCCATATGTCCTGATTTACTGCCATATTGGCCTGTTTCTGCAGTTAAGCCTTTGTTTACAGAAAATGCTGATTGTTTGAGAAAACATTGTTGCAGAGAGTGTCAACTGCAAAAGGCCACTTTACTTGGATCTGCGCACATCATTGGAAAATACATCACACAGCCCTAGATGCTTGGGAAGTGTTCAACTTGAAATTTTGTGATACGATATCCAGCATATATATCTTGTTTGTTGTGACATACTGTGGTTTGTGTCAGTAAAATAATAACAACTTTATTCTTATAGCCTGCAACCATCTCCCCAAAGGGACTCAGGGTGGCTTGCAGACGCCACAAGGTGCCTAAAAACAAACATAAAAGTGAACACAATATAAAATGCAATAAAATAAAACACATGCACATATAAAAACATTAATTCAGACTCAATCAAGCTGCGATCCTCTAACAGTGACGGTAAATTATTGCAACCATGGTGGGGCTGTAAACATCTATATAAATAAAAATGTAATGTTCGTTTGTGGGATTAACGTCACTCAAAAACCACTGGACAAATTGACACAAAATTTGTACACTACACCTCTAACAGACCAACGAGTAACCATCACTCATAAACCCCTCCCAAAATATAGCAGAAAGGACTTAAAACCCCCCAAAAGCTAAATGAAAATGACATCTCCCAGCATCCCCTAGACCAGGCCCTTTAGGGGAGGAGGATGATCCAAATGCACTGCTTCCAGGCTTCAGGCTTGCTTCTCCTTGGATTTCTTTGAGAGCATCCCAATCCGTACATATTTCCTATTCCTGGGCTGCAACTCTAAGCAATCCTCCAGATATATAAGATATATAGATTAGATAGAGATAGATAGTAGGTAGATGGATCGGTCCGGAGGACTGCTGGGAGTTACAGTCCAAGAATAGGTAGAGAAGGAAGAAAGGAGGGAAAGAAAAAGGGAAGGGAAGGGAAGGGAAGGGAAGGGAAAGAAGGAAGGAAGGAAGGAAGGAAGGAAGGAAGGAAGGAAGGAAGGAAGGAAGGAAGGAAGGAAGGAAGGAGAGAAGGAAAGAAAAAAGGGAAGGAAGGAAAGAGGGAGGGAGGGAAGGAAGGAAGGAAGGAGAGAAAGAAAGAAGAAGAGAAAGAGGGAGGGAAGGTTGGCTACAGCAATGCATGGCGGGTACAGCTAGTCTATATAAATAAAAACGTAATGTTCGTTTGTGGGATTAACATAACTCAAAAACCACTGGAGGGATTGTCACCAAATTTGGACACTACACCCCTAACAGAT